CCATCAATAATTAAACATATACCCTCATCAATAGAAAATAGAATTAGCCTTAACTCCATAAACAGGGAATATTCCAAAAACATAATAATACTTCTACAACACTGCCCTAAAAAATAGTGGTTATAAAAATGCTAACATTAACTACAGAGAAAATTGCACTGGACATGGGAAAAAAACAGGAAAAGAAATATCATATGGTACACCCCTCCGTTCAACCAAAGGGTTAGTATTAAACTAGGACAGAAATTCTTAGCTCTAATTAATAAACACTTCCCCACCAATAGTAAGCTTAGTAATATATTCAATAAGAACACCCTAAAATTGAGCTACAGCTGCTCTGATAATCTTGAACGGCGTAAAAAAAAAAAACACAATAATAAGATCTTGAACAAACCCCATGCCAAAACAGTATTAATAAAAAAGTCTACACATAAATCAGATGATAATAGGGAAAAATTATGTAACTGTAGAAACCCAGAAGACTGCCCATTAGAAAATAAATGTTGTATTAATTCTGTGGTATACCAATGCACTATTTCATCCACAGAGAGCCCTAGCACTAATATGATATACATTGGGTCCACGAAGAATAATTTTAAAGATAGATGGAGGCAGCATAAGTGCTCCTTTAATATAAACAAAAAAAAAACCAGACTTCACTATCAAAATATTTTTGGCACTTGAAGGAAACAAATAAGACACCAAAAGTTAAATGGAAAATTATTGACAAGGCTAGAATATGTAAAGCTTGGGATGACCCATGCCCTTTGTGCCTCCATGAAAAATTGCACATTATTAAACTTCTAAATAATAATAATCTATTAAATAATAGACACAAGTTAACGGTTTTTTGTAGGCATCATCAGATTTTTGGTTTGAAATAAAAAAATTTATATAACTTGTTTAACAAATAACCCAATCATCAGATTCATAGTAGAAATTATTAACTACAAACTTGCATACAACATAACACCCTTCATAATCCATAGCCCAAATTAGTAGTTTAAATACCAACATAACCCTTTATGAAGTCGTCAAAAAACAAACGCCACGAAAGTTTTTCTTTTTATATGCAGAATTCCCTTTCATAATAAAATAAAATAAATAAATAAATCTCCATAGACAAGCCAACTTGACGAAAGCTTAATACATCTTTGTTTCTTTTTAACACCCTCACCTTCCCCCGACTTGACACCTTGAAAGTATCTCTATACCGCCACTCATCATTAACACCCTACACTCGCCTACCCATTTTAGACAATTCGCCCTAGCTGTTACCATGGTGATTTTGATTTCAATTTTTAAAACAAGTAAATTTCAGATATACGTTATTCCAACAAAAATTTCGCTTGAAGATGGAACAGAGCCCTTTTTAATTTCAACTCAATTTAATTTAAAGGATTATATTGAAGTTTTTTTTCGGCTCTTGTTTTGAAACATGAGACCTCTTATGTAGCGATTTGGAATCATATTTTTAAATAAATAATTATATATATATATATATATATATATATATATATATATATATATATATATATATATATTTTTTGATATTTTTTTTAAAAAATATTTTACTTTGTGACAAGGAAATTTCTGTTTTGGGACTTCAAATTTTTTTTTTATCCTGTCATCAGGCAATGTTCAGGAAGTTTTGAGGAAAATGATTTACTTTTGAAAACAGAAAACAATACGTTTACTTATTAATGAATTAAGAAGGACAGGGGGACCCAGATTTTATGGGTGTGTCTCTTTTGAGTAATCAAAAGACAGGTCAAAGCTAAAGCAGGAAAGTAAAAAATATAGGTTACATGCTGGGGGCGGGTGATATTCATACATGCCTCAGGGAACTGTTATATTAAGATGCAACACCATACTTCCGATTAATAGTATACATTTAAGTTACAAAGAAATAATCTGAGAGAAATAGTATATCTCTAACAATAGATTACTTTTTGTTTTTTTTTTAAATTATTTTTTACATATATGTTAGAACTATCTTAAAGGAGTCTCTGGTATGATTAAATCATTTTTATATAATTTTGAACCTAAAATACTTATTTTATTCAATGGGCCTTAATACATGGCAATATTAAAATTAAAAATCAAGGAATCAAATCAGTATTACATGTACCATTATATATAATAAAACTAGCAGTATAACCCATCTTTGACTGGGTGATTCATTACTGGGAATTTTTGCCGTTCAATTGGAGCAGTTTAAGTTTAAATTCAGCCCACCCCAAAATCAATATTAGTAACAACAACTGGGTGCAACTGAGGCATATCCCCAAATGGGGGGGGGCGTTAACAATTTTAATGGGGGGTGGCTTTGAAAAGGGCCGTTTTTGTGTTCCCAATTTTGCAAGGAAGAAACTTCTTTCATGAACTGTCATAATAATAATATACGATAATTTTTCTTTATAATATTATTGTTTTTTTATAATTCTAATAATCTTTTGCGTTAGATTTCAACTCTCTAAATTGATTGTACTGTTTTTTACAGACATTAAATTTTGCCTTCAATTTTTGTGCAAAGTGTAAAAAATCTTTTTTTTTTCGATTTTTCACCTTCGAAGTTGGAATTTCTTTATAATCAATTTTGACTCAAAACTGGCACTGAAGAATTATTTATCAAACAAAAAAAAATTAATCGAAATTGGATGAAAAGTGTGGAAATGCATAAGCAACATTCGATTATTACACACACACATTTTGAGAATTATAGATATAGATAATGGATATATAATTATAATACATAGATTTAAAAAAAAAATTATGCTTCACTTTGTATTGACTTTTTTAAAAAGTAAATGCTAAAGAACTACGGATTATAAATCTGTTTGTTCTTTCTCTTCATTTATATATATTATTTATATATATATATATATATATATATATATAGTAATGGATTTTTATTAATCCAACAGATTTTAGCACTTTAAATGTTATTATTAATGAATACTTATATTTGAGTAAACACTGCTTATTTATTTTCTTCTACTGGCCTGAAAATTCAAGAAATCTTATCAAAGAAAAATATGGGTTCTCTGCATTTGAATTTGCCTTCCCCTGGGCAGATTTTATCTAGACATATTTTACTTTGAGTTTTCAGGCCAGTAGATGAAAATTAATAAATATACTACTTAATAAAGAAATGGAGTGTTTACTCCAATATGGGTATCCGCTAAAAATAATGTTTAAAATGATAAAATCTGTCAGATCAATAAATAAAAAATTGCTTTGTTTATGTTTGGATACAAAACTGAGGATTAATTTACATTATAAGCACCAAAATGCCTTGGTATTGAGAATGTACCATTGTGGTGTGAAATTGCTTGGTTATTTAAAAAATGATATTAAAATGTGCTTGATTACCTTTTTCAATTTATCATTAATGTAAGTTCAATCTCTTTCGTATTGTCCGGCCGCCATAACTGATGTTGTTTACATATTTTTTCCTCTAGTTTTAATGTGCAGAAAGTTACTTAGTTAATGGCCTTTTTACAACTTTTCGTATTTTACTGGTCTTGATTACTGTGTGATTTTCATGGATGTTATTTTAAAATGTGTTTATTTTTAAAATGAAGTTTTAAATGAATAGTATTTTTTCTTTATTGTCCTTAATAAATCGGCTTATAGCTAATGAAACAGAATCTCACCCTAAAATGTAATTTATGAAGCTTTAAATTCAAGAAACTTTCATGACACACAAAAAAAAATAAAATAAAAAAAACCGTTGTTGTAAAGAAGGAAAAAATCCTTTTTTTTTTTTAAAAAAAAAACTTTTTAGTCACATAATTTTTATTTTGTCAGATTTTACGTTTTTTCGTGTATTATTATGTCCATTTATTTCAAAGTTTGCGCATTGTGCAGTAATCAAGACAAGTGAAGCTTACACGCCACATGACCACTTAAGGCAAACGTATGTTAAACAAAGCCAGTAATGGTGGATGTTCTGTGTACACAATGAGAAAGAAGATGAACTTACATTGTCCATAACTCTTAAACAGTAATTGAGCGCAATATTTTAATGTCGTTTTTTAAATAACCAGGCAATTTCAGGCTAGAATGGTAAATCCTCAATACGGAGGCTTTTGGTGCTTATACTGCAAATTAACCAAACTGAGTAGATATGTAAATTTCAGGAGTCTATGATGAGAATGATCTCACTTAAAGGTACTATTCAGACTTGCTTGATTGACAATGTCTTTCATGGCTGAGTCAGTTAAAGCATGTTGAATCTAACGATGGTTCTCTCTGCCCAAAGGAGACCCTGGTTCAAATCTTGCCAGAGAGCCCATATTTTTCTTTAATTAGATTTCTCTAATATTCGGGCCAGTAGACGAAAATAAATCTTCTGTTTAATAAATAAACAGATTTTAAAGTGATAAAAAATATAAATATATATAATTTTATTGAAATAATAACCTAAGAGGATTTTTCAAGAGACATTTCTACATCTTCTTCAGTTTTGCCCAGCTTGTGCACATAGTTTGACCATTGCTGTCTTAGATTGGAATCGGCACCAGTTCCTTTTTTTCTCTCCAACTCCTTAAAAAGTCTTGTTAACATTACTACATTTTCAGATAATAATAATGGGTAGAATCTTGCTAGCTTTTCACACAATGAGAACAGGCTAGTAATGAAAAATGGTAAATAACTTTGCTGGAACCAACACAGAGTTTCTAAGAGTGTCTCTTTAGGTGATAGACCAGGATGCTGGCTGCAGGCCTTCAAGAGTTTCTCAAGCACAAGAATAGTACACTGTTTTATTTGAGAAGTCTTTGCAAGCAAATAGCCTTCAAGCAAGGGCCGAAAAAGCACCACAGCATCCTTACAAAGGTCTTCAGCATCTGTTGTCTTCTCAATTAATCTGGCCACAAAATTAAATGCCATCAAAGATGTTTCAGACAACCTTAAATTTTCCACTTTGAAGAGATTGTCTTTGATCGTGACCAGAACAAAATGCCGGAAACTGGTAAAGTCCTGAATGCTCATCTTTAGAGAAGGGTCTGTAAGAACATTGATAAGAGGATGGGTTTTGACCAAAGTGAGCGAGTGACTGATATCTTGAGGGATAGATGGGTTGAGGGGGAAACGAGGTAAGTACTGAAGGACTAAGTCACGTAACCGTCGTTGTATGTATGGATTTTGCTTGTTATTGATCTTGCTTAGACCGGAGAGGAAGAGGTGGAATGTTTTCTGGAGGGCTAACTGCACCAGACGATTGAGAGGTTTTGTAGGCACAAAGAGAGAATGTGGGAAAACAAGGCTGTCGATTATCACTGGCAAACAAGGAGCATTGAAGAGGAGAGGAGCACAATTCTTGACCAGATGACCAATGACATCATAGATGTGGCATAACTGGTCAGAGTTGGAAGGGGCTTTTAATACCAACTGGATGTAACGACTGATCTCACTGAAATACAACTTTGCTTCCTCACGGAGGTCAATTTTAGTCTTCCAGTCTTTAGCCTCATTGTGCATTTTGTTAAATTTCTTGAATAGTTCAACTATGGCATCAGAGATATCAGCATCAGGATCCATGGGGCCAAAGATTCGGGCAACACTCGGAAAGCAGAGAACATGTTGTGTGACCGAGCGTAACTGTTCTTGAAATGCTGATGATGATCCTAACAAAAGCCAGCAGTTGAGCCAGCACTGGATTAATTTGAGCTGAACAGAATCCTTAAAAGCCTTAGCAGAATCATCTAGAATATGTTCTTTTGTCGCTGGATCATCCAAGATATGACCAAAGAAACGTAGGGTTACCTTCATATTGACCAAGGGATCGCAAGTAAATTTCAAGAGGATGCTATTTGAAGCAGGACTCCAGTCAGGGAGCGCAACTGAAAGCATGAAAAACTGAGTAGCAAGATCCGCTACCTCAGGTAGAGCAGTCTGGGTTTTGGCATGTGTTTCAATAAACGGAAAGATATTTACCCACAATGCCTGAGCCATTTGCTCATGATGGTCATTCGGAATATACATGTCGCCTTCCTCAGTTCGCTGTGTTTTTATCAACATAAGCAGTTTTGTCATTATCGTATTAAACAGTACAATCACACGGCGCATCTCGTAGTTACGGCTAACTGGTAAGATAGCACTGTGATCTTTTGTAATCAATTTATGCTCGGAGAGGCTGAGACTTGGGCTGTGCTCCATTACATCCTGCAGATCTTCGATGTACGCAGCCAGGAGGTTCCACATCTTCTGTCTTTTATTTGGCTCTGTCTCCAATGACACAAATTTCCTGGTAACCAACCCAGCCAATGGTATTATTCTTTTTGCCAAAAACTCAATATCTCTGTTCCACTTGATGGAGATGAACATGGCTGCAGAGATGCCTCTCAAAATGACACCCTGCCGTTTGAAGTCAGTCACAGAAAAGTCAATCATGTTATAAAAATCACAAAGCTGCTCAAGAAGTTGGTCGTCGTGGGTGCAGAGAGAAAGAGTCAAGAAGAGCTCTGTGAAATAGGTGAGACCAGATTCTGTGAGTTCTTGCATGCCCCGCTGATGAAATTTGGACAGGAAACGGCCTCGTAAGTTACGCCAGCTGCTATGATTTTCGTCATTCATAGTTTCCTTCAGTAAAGAACAGACAAGACGAAGAAACAAATGAAAACTGTTGTCCTTAGATAGAGCAGATCGGCTTGGATTTGGCGCTTGCCAATTACAACAGTCTTCAAACAATCCGTTGGCTGTATGACGAAGGGTCTGAAGGCCTGTGACTGTCAAAGTTGTAACCTATAAGAAAAACGTATATATTACAATTTCATGCTCTGAAGATGATGTAAATTAACATCTAAATTCTTCACACACTCTTTTTTTTCTGCAATTAATAGGGAATATTTTTTTCATAGAAACTTATTAATAGGGGATATTTTTTACAGAAACGTATAATTAATAGAGGATATTTTTTTTATAGAAATCTGTAATTTAGAGGATAGATTTTTTTGTATTTTTGGTAATCCGTAAAGTTCATTTATTTTTTCATAAATATTATCATCATTGCGGAGTCCCATTTTTTTTTTTTTTTTTGTTAATTATAGGGGATATTTTTTGTAAAAACCTATAATTAATAGACAATTTTTTGTAGAAAGATAATTAATTGCTTTAAACAAACAAAAAATAAAAAAAAAATAAATCCTTGCAAAATATACTGTCAAATCGACTTTAGGCAAAATTTGATCATATGACCAAATATCAGAATGTTTTTTAAAATTCCTTCTTGGGTAAATCAGGAACTTTTCAGCATCCTACACATTTTGCATATTCAAGAAAATATCAAGGAAAAAAGAAAAAAAAACTGACAATGTGGTGTTGAAATGTTTTCTGTCCAACATATCTTCTAAAGTAGACATAAAACCCTCACAAATTTTTTTGGTGAGCTTGAGCAGGCATTGTAGATGTTAGGCAAAAAATATTATGAAAATTGAAGAGGACGTATTTTTGATAGACTGACCGTAAGCTACATAGGTGAAAAGTTGTTGATTTTGGGATCATGTATTAGGATGAGCAAAATAAAATTTTCTATCAAGTGTAGGCTTGAAATATTTAAATATTTGGATTCTACACTTCTTATTTGCCCTACATACCAAATTTTAGAAATATTGAAGGTATGGAAGTATTTTTCTTTAATTTTTAAAAATCACTGAAATTCTGCGACGTTGCGTGGCCTTAATTTAGAGGTAAAATAGGAAAATTATACACCCCCCCACTTAAAATTGGAACGGTAAAGTCTAGCACAAAATAATTTGGCACACTTTCCTAACTCATGAAGGGGAACATTTGTACCAAATTTCAAGTAATTCGGTGTCAGTGGGTGTAACGCCCTGGTGAATTGACATGGAATGACCCCAATCCATTTTTAAAATCTAATCAAATGACAAAAGAGGACATACTTTTTTTTAATCCCATTTTGGCAAAACCAGGAACTTTTTAGCATTTCTTACTATATCCACAAAAATATCAAAGAAAAAGAAAAAAATTGACAAAGGAAGTACTGAAAAATTTCACCAGAGTTCTATACTCTGGTAAAATGATGAAATATGAATTTGTTTTTAAAAATACTTTTTTTTGGCCAAACCAGAAACTTTTAGTATTTAGTACATTTGAAAAATATCAAGAAGAAAAAAAAAATTGACAAAGAGGATGCTGAAAATTTTTCACCCTACACCATTTCTAAAATCTAATCAAATGACCAAATAGGAATTTTTTTTTTTTAAATCCTTTTGTGGACAGACCAGGAACTTTTCAGGATTCACACACAAAAAAAAAAAAAAAAAAAAATCAAGTGAATGCTGAAATGTTTACCCAACTTCTAAAACCTAATCAAATGACCAAATATCAGTATTTATTTTTTTATCCTTTGTTAGCTGGATTGATAACTTTTCTGCACCCCCTACACATCAGACATAGTCAAGTATTTTTTGTCAGATTCAAGAAAATAAATACACGAATAGGATTTTACACAAACCTTGAAAGAGCTATTTAGCTTTCGGAAGAAATAATTCCAGAGAATATTCACTAAAGTGAGGTCTGGCTTCCAGAGTTGACACACCTGTAGGCATCCTTGCAGATAGTAACGAAGTTCTTCCTCGTTCACCTGGTTATTGTTGGACACAACTTTCTTGACCAAGCTGATAATTTCATCGTAGTTAGCATCAAAATATTTCGTCTTGGTCAAAATCTTTCCAATATCATTAAACTGGTAAAGTGGAGCAAGGGAAAACATCATCCAAAAGCGGAAACTTATTTCAGGATCCTGGATTGAACCATCCCGTCGGTCTTTTAACATGGGATCATCAAACATGTCATTCAGTACCTTAAAGAATTTAATGCAGAAGTATAAATAATTTCATTGAATAAATATAGACATATTGTGTCGATTTATTTTTATACTGATTCTTTCCTGTTCTCTAATTAGTTTCTTAATGTTAAAATGAAATTCATCAAGGAAAGTGTCATAATTTTTTTCCTACCTAAGTAGTTTCGATCTCCTCCAAGATCATCCTCAGGAATAATATTACAGAGACAAACTTATTGTAACTGTGATAAAATACACATGTTGGTTTGACAACATTATCAAGACGCCTTACACTTCATTTGTCAGATACAAGTTCTATTGCACAACATTTAAAAACAAGTTCCTGTCCACCTTTGCAATACAGGAAAATACTTGTTGACAACACCAATATATTACACCATGAAAATAATAAATGAAAAATTCAAGTTCTCAAGACCCTTTATATCAAAAGCAACCAAGCAACTCTCAACAAAATTTATTACGAATGTAGCAGCAACGTGTTGCAGTGCATTTAACAAACATTTAATACCATTTTACCTGCTACCAATTTCTGGTTAGCTCCCTTATATTGGAACACTTATTTTGCAAAAGATTCCATAGCTACAATGGATAAATTTAAAATTTTAAAAGAATTATAACAGATCGCATTAAGCACCATCACAATGAAATGCAGATTTTATCAGTTACCAGAAATTTGTCTTTGTAATTTACATCTGAGGATGGTGTTGGAAGAAATAGAAAGTACTTGTAAAGAAAAAAAAAACTACGGTACCTTCCTTGATGAATTTCATCTTAACATCAAGAAACTGATTAGACAACTGGAACAGATCATTATAAAAATGATGAGACACAATATGTCTATATTAATCAATGAAACATGTTTGAATGAAGATATGCTGCCTACATATACATATATACATACATACATACATACATACATACATACATACATACATACATACATGATAAAACAAAATTTAAAAAAAAATAAAATATGAAAATCAAATTCTTTTTGTTGCTACCTTGTTCCCAATAACCATTACACACGACCATAGACTATTTTAAACTTTCAGCTTTGTAAAGAATATGAGGATGTAATATATATATATATATATATATATATATATATATATATACATACATACACACACACACTTTATTGTAGGATATTACATTCAAACACATGTACCACCTGATGAGATGCGATGATATGCATTGATGTAGCAGTCTTAAATATATTCGAATCTAATATCCTGTAATAAAGAATACTGCTCTACTATTGTATTGAGCCCTATTTTAATGTTATGAACGTTTGAATTCATATTTGATTCATTCTTATTTCATTTGTTTATATATATATATATATATATATATACACACACACACACACATGGGGAAGGTAACCATCTTTTTTTTAAATCTGGGGAAAATTCACGGGTATTCCTTGATCAAATATGTTGATAAATCCCAAATGTTAGATTTGTATCTTTAATGGTTTTAAAATCAGAGTATTTTGAAATTCCACTGCATTTTGCTAAATTAGGCATTTAATGAATTTATAACATTCATATCAATGATATTATGTATTGATGTGAAACTTGGTCACAATAGTTAATATTTACTGTATATAACAAAAATATAAACAGCTTATCTACTTTTATTTTTATAAGGACCTGAACAAGTTACTGCATGGAAATAATAGATTAGGTCATGATAGGAAAACTAATTTGGGTGCTGTATCTGACATACTTTGTTAAAGGAGACACTCTTTTTATTTCAGTCATTTAAAAGTGACACCATAACAAGTACTGTACTATAAGAGGTATAGTCATATATTTTAAGCAGTTCTATGAACTATTCTGACCCCAGCCATATACAGACCTGTGTTTACATTACAAGAAAAGTCAGAAAATATTGACATTTTAACCATTACAATGGTGAAACAAAGTCAGACGTAGCCAATATTGTTAGCTTGATTTTTAATTTCTGTTAAGACAGGAAAATTCATAAGAGCTATAGGACAGACTGGTAGTAGCCCTCGGTCAGTTAAATGATAGACACTTGGGCAATCATGACTCTTGATTCATGACTGACTAGGCAGAAGATTTTCTAACAGTTGGTTGCCATTTCTTTCTGCATTAGACTGGTTGCCAACCAAGGCTATAGTACACAGTCTGTCCTGTTTAACCCATAGCTGAAGGGAGAAGAGATGGATTCATATCTTTCCCAAGGATATTTGTGCGTAAGTGAATGTAACAAACTCGTTATATTACAATTCTAATCATCATAAAAGTTAGAGAGATGTACCTGTCCCAGAAATAGCAAAAAAAAAAAAACCCTGGTGATGGTTTCTCAATTAGACAAAGATTCTGCTTTAGGAATGAACCTCAATTATTAACATAAAATCTTTACAGGCAGTAAATAGAACAGATAGAAATGGATTATCTTTAAAGCAGATTAAAAAGATCCCATATATATTTATGTATAAACCTACTTAATGTACAAGGGAACCTCTAGATTTTTCTTTTGTGAGACCTACCCTTCCTAATAAAGAAACATTGGCAATCTTTGATGTAAATGCCTGCAAAAAACAAAAAACAAAAAAAAACACACACAATGTCAAAAGGACAGTTTTTCCCCGTGACACTTATTTTAACTTCACACCTCAACAATGGTAGAGGACAGCATGAGGAATCAGGTACTGACTGAAGTAGATTATAGGTGCAAGCTCAATTTGGGAGAATTGCAAAGGAAGCTTAAGCAATTTTTGTCACCAGTCTATGTATGCCTGGGCTACCAATCCACTTTAAACTCAACCTTGTGTCCCATTCCGCTTGAGTACACATATGGCTGAATCCTTATTTGGTACACACCTGAATCTGAGCTGATTTACTTAAAGGTTTATCCAAAGTACATCAGTTGCAGGATTTATCCACATAATACAGGTATATTAGATATGAGAATACAACTAATTAAAAATGCAGGTGATGTCTTACTACAATAAACACCAAACATTCTTGTACAGGTGTATATAACTACAGGTGAAAAAAAATTTCCAGACAGAGTTATGATATTATAAAATTTCTTTGAATTGCACCATGGCATTCATGACGTTTCGGATTTCCATCCTATCTCTCATGGCTACTACTTTACAATGTGATTTATTTAAGATAACTTGTTTGAAACTAAGGTGTTGAGCATTGCACTAAATTTTACAATCAGATCTCTGATTAATTCTGTATATCTCTCTCTCCTTATCTACACTAATTTCAAGGCTATGAATCACCGTTCAAAATAACACTGAGACACAGACACTACAAATTTCTAAAAGAAAATTTCTAAAATGAATGAATAATAATCAGCAGACTTTGTGAAACAATTTCAATAAAGATTCGCTTATGCTAAAATATTTTTGGGGTAGATTTTGTTCTGTCTTACAAAAACAATATTGTTATTTGGGAGGAATGATTGAAATGGTTCTAAAGTGAAGGTTCAATATACAAAGTACGCATAATATCAAAATAGACCCCGAATTTGTGTCTAACGTTCAATTTACAATACTGCTAAACTTTAGGTTGTCAACTGTCCTTTATTTAGCTCTTTCTAACTTTATTGAATTTGGAAGGTAAAGACAATGTATCAGAATTTGACAACCACTATGATATTTTACAAGTTTACTTTCTAGCCTCTTTTCTGATCTTTACCCCAACATACACCCCTCACTCCTCCAAAGTCCTTGATTCTGGTAAAACTTTACTATTATGGACACCTCTAATATGCATGAGCAAATGCAGTTGTTTAAAGTATTGATTAAGAAGAGTGAACATTTTTTCAAATATTTGAGAGGTAAATGATTATTAATCTCTGATCCTGCTTATCCGAATTGTTCAGGTTCAATGAAATTGATAAAAAAAAAAAAACAGTTGTTCAAACAGATATATTTGGAAATGTCGAATGAAAAACTCTGATACAAGGATCAAGTAGCAATTCATGAAACTAATTTTGTATCTGAAGAAAAGTCACTAATACACCTACAATCGAAACTAGTTGGCTGCCTTTAAAAAAAGTTCCTACATAGAAATGGTACAAATACAACTCCCCATCAGTTGAAGTACATATGTGAATATATATTTAGAAAAAAAATCAAAAGACATTTTTGAAAAATTAGTTGAAACGATAGAATATATATTTTGTAATATATCAGATTTTTTTGTTTGCACATGCATATTACAGCAGTCCATAATAATGTTTTACCTTGATTCTTATCAAACATAATATATTTTCTGATGAACAAGAGAGTTGGAAAATATTAAAAGGAATTTGACCATTCCTGCCTGGACCATGGTGCCATAAAGTCGGGGGGTAACATACACAACTTGTTAAACTTCCTTCCAAAACCAGCTAACAATCCTTTAATTCTTATCAGAGATAAAAATATATTTTCTGACAAATGATAGTGTTGGGAAAGTGTTTAGCAAATTTTGGGGAGAAAAGTTCCCAATATTTCTGAGCCTTCTAATCTCGATAAATACGGAGAATATATTCCTCTTTGACAGTGAGTATTTGACATCATCTGTGATAACATCAGGTCGGCAAGTAACATCAGACATCTTCGGAACCTGTTTCAAGAAAGAAATCTATAAGTTGAGCTCTAAAGAAAGAACATTGGCTCTCTATTAAAAATGCTCAAGATCTGCTTCCTAGTAACTTAAAATTCCTGTTGTCGCCCTACAAACTCACTCAACTACTAACTACGGATCTTCCAATTGTTTCCCCCTTAACAAGATCTCTGAAGAAATCTGCATGAGTATTAATCCCTTAAAAACAATTTATTTGCTTAAAGAACTTTTAGATGCTCAGTGAAATATTTTGAGCAAAACTTTACATGAACACTTTTTCTTCCTTTAAGCCTTCTGTTTGCCTTGGGGTTCTTGATAGGCTCCAGATATATGCAATATAATTGGCCCTGCTCTGGCATCTCGTCTACAGTCACTTTCTCACAGACACGCCATCGCCTCTCTCTGTCTTTTTTTACAAATACTTTCATGGTAATTGCTCCGAGGAGCTGCATTCGCTGGTTCCCAGACTTCATGAGTTCAAGCGAGCTACGAGGCTGGCATCCCACTCTCACCCTTTCACTGTCGAAACTCCTAAATGTAGCTGTCTCTTCTACTCCAATAGCTTCATGTCTCGCACCTCTTGCCTGTGGAACTCCCTTCCCTATTCCTGTTTCCCTGAGAGCTATAATCTCCAACTATTCAAATGTAATGTCAATCGACATCTCCAGTTGCCTTGATCTATCCACTATCCTTCTCCTCATCCTTTCTTCTATCACGCCTATCTGATCCTGCTCCAAATCTTCTGTAACCCCTTGCGTCCTAGTGGCTTCTTGCCTTGCTTGGGGTGAAACGCTTAGAAAAAAAAAAGTGAAAGGAATTTTCTTCTCCCATTCTTTCTCTCCTATTTTGTATATATCCCTTTACGTTTTCTTGTGTGTTTAAATAAACATTTTCTTCTTCTATTGCAGGAGTTTGAGTGTTTATTCTTCCGCCTAAAAGAGAGAATTGTCTGTTCTAAACTTTCAAGCCGTTGTTGTTTTTATACATTCTGTCACCTTTAACCTTAACATTTTCATGTAGAAAAGCCAGGACAAATTTCCCACAAATGTCATTTTCAATTATATTGCACAATTACAATAATTAAATTAAAAATGTCTATTTATAGTTTTTTATGTTCTTTATTCTAATTTGGCTAAATTGAACTTCAATTATATGTACGTACCCCCTCCTCCCCCCACAAAAAAAAAATAAAAAATAAAAATCGATACCTAAGTATAAATTTAAAAAAAAAAATTTTTAATTTTAATTCCAAGTTATAGAGATAGATATATTAAATTTATTACCAACAAGCAAAATACTTTGGTTAAAAAAAAATCTATAATAAATTCATTCATATTGATATATCTGTCAACACATCGTTATTATCTTTATTAAAAGATCTTTGAAAAATCTGAATTGAAACAAATTACTTTTTTTAGTTTAAATTATTGCAGAAAACGCTTTTTCTTTTTAACACGAAGACTAGGTGTTTTCCTGGCGTGTTGAGTGATTTATAGCCTGATGTTTGGGAAATTTAAGTTCCTAAGATTTAAAAAAAAAATAAAAACAATTCTTGTAGAAATTCATTATTCATCAAAATAAAAATTTTTTAGGGGGTAAATGTATATTGTAACACCCGAGCGCTAATATCCCTTCAAATTTTTCCAAAATAGTCTTAATTCCGTGCAAATGTATATGCTTAACTCAAATCAACAATTAGATATTGAAGAAACCTATCTTTTTGGATGTTAACGACCAGAAATAATTGGACTTATTCTCGCTCTTCTTATCATACTTTACGGCCTTATTGAGAGACATTCACTGCTGAACCATTTCGCGCATTTATACAATTTTGGCCTAATTACTCCCTCAACGAAATTAATACGCGTTTTTTTTTTTTTTTTTAATTTAAGTAAAGTTAACTTTTAACTTTCAAGTGTAGATTTTACTTATTTTTTAAGAAGAAAGTTAACTTTCAAATGAAAATATCGACAAATAAAAGAATAACAAAGTAATTTTCAAATGTATGAAAATAAGTGATAAGTGTACTTTTTAAAGAAGAAAGTTAACTTTCAAATATATGAAAATATCGATGAAAATACTTATAAATTATAAATAACAAAAAGAACAAAATAAGTAGGACAGTAAAGCATTTTTTAATATTATACATTGAAAATAAAAAACAATAATTAAATCAATTGTAAGAGGAACTTAAAAGCTTGGAAAAAAAATCCTAACCCTAACCCTACTTAAATTAAAGGAACTTAAAAGCTTGGAAAAAAATCCTACCCCTAACCCTACTTAAATTAAAAAGAAAAAAAAAACGCGTATTAATTTCGTTGAGGGAGTAATTAGGCCAAAATTGTATAAATGCGCGAAATCGTTCAGCAGTGAATGTCTCTCAATAAGGCCGTAAAGTATGACAAGAAGAGCGAGAATAAGTCCAATTATTTCTGGTCGTTAACATCCAAAAAGGTAGCTTTCTTTAATATCCAATTGTTGATTTGAATAAAGCATATACATTTGCACGGAATTAAGACTTTTTTGGAAAAATTTGAAGGGATATTAGCGCTCGGGTGTTACAATATACATTTTCCTTTTAGGGTAATAATAGTGTCCATAATATATTTTGATTCATAAAAACAATTAAAGCTTCAGCAATTAAAAAATTTCATTTTTTTTAATTGCATTTTTTAATTTCACGATTTCTACAACTGTGGGACCGCTTGACAAAAAAAAAATAAATCATGATTTCTCAGAGGACTTGCTCTTATTAACAAATTAATCATTTATTTATTAGGCAATTATGTGTATTTTTAAGATTTTCTAAAAAGAAACGTTTAAAAAATAATTCATTTCTGAATGGGTCCTGGAAGTTTCATTTAAAATCCGGATATAATTGTCAAATTTTTTGCACAAAAATTTCCAAATCAATGAAAAAGTAAAAAAAAAAACTCAAAATTTCTCGTACAAATTCAAGATCCAGCATTGACGCCAGAAAAAAAAAAAAAAAGATTTGGATATTTTTCATCATGTGACTTGTTTTACTTTTTGGAGGTACCTTTTCACTATCAGTGTCCACATTTGTGAGTAATTTTAAAGTACGGAAGCCGAAAGAGAAAAAAAAGTTTTCATAACACCACAATTTAAATAAATAAAAAAAAAAATTGTGTATAAATAATTATTATTTATATAAAACTTTTTTTTTAACTTTATCTTTTGAGGTTTTCATACTTTATGAACCATATGAATTAATTAATAATGAATAAAAATATTTGCTATGTTCATAAAAATCGACAAAGGGTCCAGTTTGTAGATTGATTTTTTAAGAATTACCCAATCCCAAATTAAAGTTATATTCAATCAAAACACATAAAATACACAAGAAAAAGATTTTGCCACAGAAAATATATATATATATATATTGAGACTAAAAAAATGATTCAAACTAAAAACAGAGAAATACCTGATATAGCGCAAACCAAAATGATCGACCTCCTCTGTTTCGTTGACGATATCTCATCACCTGGATGAGCATGATCCACATCTCTTTTACACAAGTGCAAGGAAATGGAGACACCTTGTTAAAATCGTTGTAGGCCAGACAAGAAGTGAATCTATGCCATGCCAAAGTGGTCAGATCACGGACTACAAGTTCGGCCAAAAACTGGAAAAAGTCTTGTTCAATTTGATCATCAACCGGCTTCTCCCGTAAACAATTCAACGACGAGGATAACCACTGCAAACTTTTGATCAGTTCGCTGATACTGACATCGAATTTCGGATATTTGTCGAGTACAAGAAAGACAAGTTCAAGCACTGACCAGTAAATGTCCAGATGAAGGTGAAACAAATGATAACGCTTGTTCGTACTGTTATTACCTAATCGACTGACCCCACTTTGGATACAGTGTTTCGGTAAATCGGACAATAAGCCAACATTGTGAAGAAGAGACTGCACATTTACTAAGAGGTTCTTTAAAAAAACTGCAGATTTGTCGTCTTTCTCCTGTATGGAACTGCTCCAAGAATTGTTGAATTGAGTAGCAGAAACTTTCGGAAATTCGAAATGATCACAATTATTATTGTTGTTAATCTGTTGGTTGACGAAATTAAGGAAAACTTTAATTTGTTTTCTTCGTCGAAGAAGTTCTCTGCTCTCGAAAGGGTTCAACTGTCCAAGGAGCGTGTTGACATGACGTTCGGCATTAGAGGCGATATAGTTAATCCATTGACGAGTCATCAAAAACAGCGGTTCCTCGTATTCCGTCAGGGCAGTATCAACAGGGAACCTAAAATCATACAAGACTCGCCAAAGAGAAGAATTGGTGTTGTCTTCTTCTGTAGACTCCAAAGACATAAAAGTGTCAGCATCCGTTCCACTGTGATCCATATCAACTTCTGCATCCGTATTATCAACAAGGTCTCTTTTTTTATGGAAAAATCCGGTATATTGACCACCTCCATGACACTGATTTGTCGAACTTGTACGCGGTTGTTGATGGTCCTTGTAGAAAAAGAAGGCGTGTAACGCACCCTTTTTTAAACAACTGTCTTCGTTCAGATCATCTAAACAGTTAGTATTCACTTCTCCATTGCATACGAAGATAATAGGGTCGTCATCATCACTCACGGACGAACTGCAGGTGAAGACATTTGTCACATCATCCATTACGTAGGACGGTAAATAAGACAAAACTAGGATACGAGCGACGTAAAACAAATTTCCCGCTCTATTCGGTTTAATTAGAGTTACCTTTCCTTGGATACAACTAGTTACCTCCCTTGAAAAATATTTACAAAACAAGAATTATTTTCTTTTTACTTTGAAAATAAAGAAAAAAGCAAAATTGTTGAATTAGGTCTCAATAAATTGCCTACTATATTATCCATTCAAAAAATTAATAGTGGTTTAAAAGACTCGAAAGAATTAGTATTATTTAATCGGAAAAATATTTTAAAGACAGCATAATAAGTTCGAACATTATCATGCAAAAAATGCTTACGACTTTTAATTACTTTTTTTTACAGATAATTTAATATTTTCTTCTTTTCATTAGGGATTAATACTTTTACATATACCTTTGTAGATCATTGTTGGTAGTATATTCAATTTAATTTAACACCCAAATTTATCTAAAATGGGCCAGTTTCCTTTTTAGTAATTCATTAAATTATGAAAAAAATTCCTTAATTTCTTGCCTCCTGGAATTGGTTGTAGGAAAGAAAATCATAAAAGAAATGTCATAAGGTACACTTTGTTTAAAAAAAAAGCCATTACTTTGGTTTGTAGGTAGGAAAATTTATAGAAAATTAGGGCAGTTTTAATTTTCATAGGGTGTTTGTTTATATTTCAACAAGATGAAAAGTGAAGAACAAATAAAGATTTATAAAACATTACAAAATTTTTTAATATAAAGAAATTTTATAACAAAATTATAAATTTTGTCTTTGATATCTCCTTTTGGTGGAAATAAGTCATGTGGGTTACATGACAGCTGCTGACTGACATCAACCCATACAGTGATGGAAGTCAAATTTCAATTCATTTACAGCAGAAAAACCAAAAAGTTGCTTTCTTTAGCCCTGGACCCCCACCCCAGATTAAATCTGCCTCCCCAATAGCTTACAAAGTCCATGGTGCCATTTCCTTTTGGGAACATATCTTTCCCAAATATAGAAATAATTCCAACTCACAGTCCTTAATTTGGGAAAACCCAAGGCTTGCTGTTTCTCATTTGTGGAATATGTCCTTGTCTTGGACATAATAGATGCATCCAGCCTGTTTGAATCTGAAATCCTAAACATGGCTTCTCCAGACACAGGAATATCTTCATATTATGCGTAAGACCCTTCTTTTTTGTTTCTCCTTACACTCTACTTTGCTGTGTAGATATATGTAATATATTATTCTCCATGTGACACACATGTATGTACATATATATATATATATAATGTAAATCAATTTAAACTCTCAGTGGGTGAAAAAACCTGGATAGCACAATTTTTAAACAAATTGGCATCCAAGGAAAATATTTTGAAAAAAAAGAAAGAACCAGAGACCTCTGAACAGAGCAAAAGAAATCGTCCAGTACCTTCAATCTCTGGCACAAAGAAACAAAATCCCACCAAGCGATAAGTTAAAACAAAGAGTGCTCAATATGCTAAGTAGAGCAAAGGTAAAATAAATAAATACAAATGATCCAGGTACTACCTACCTAGATTTCACCACATGGGATCATCAGGGTGAACTGGCCAGTTCACCCTGCTGATCACATGTGGTGAAACCTAGGTCAGTAGTACCTGGATCATTCGGATTTATTTTATATATATATATATATATATATATATATATATAGTGTTGTGTATGTCATTAGTATAAATGTCTCTCTGAGAACAATGCAAGTTTTTCATTCCTTTTCTTTTCAGTCATTCCATTCTGTCCATGAGGGTACGGTGTTATTATGTCATGGATATAATAATAATAATACCCATAATGAGTGAAATACAAATAGGAGAATAAATATTTCTTCCATTGTTCCCTTCCATCACTTATCTTTTTGGTGAGTAACTAAAATCCAAGTTGATTTTAATGAATAAAAATCTTTTTTCATAGTAGTGAACATCTTTGTCTGAATCTGTCTATATTTCTGAGATGAAGTATTATGTAAACTATTTACATTATTCGGACTATTGTCCTCATCTTTGTCGCCATATTTATTACAATGCTTCAGCCATTGTATGCTCTGGCCTTCTTCAGGTGGTTAGAATGTCAATGTTATTTCACTCCCTCAAGGACACATGGCACAGTGGATAAAGGCGTTAGTTAGATCCAGTGACAGGACCCAAAGTATGTGAGTTCAATACCCGGTTAAAGCAGTGAAGACCTTGCAGAGGGGAATTAACAGAAGATAACTGATGACATCCATTAAACATGGCATATGGAACTAGAACAGTCTACCCTAGTGAGCTAAATAAAAGGTTCAGTTCAACATTCCAACCACCTGAAGAAGGCCAGAGCGTACAACAGCTGAAACATTGTAATAAATATTGTGACAAAGATGAGGACAATAGTCTGAATAATGTAAATAGTGTGATCTCTATCTGAATTTCTGGAATAAGGAGTTATCATTATTTACACTATTTACATTTGGACTGTTGTCTGTATCTTTGTTTTTATCACATTTCAGTCATTGTGTCTTCTGGCCTTCATCAAGTGTATATTAATCTAAGTAATTGTGAGTTCAATCCCTGGACCAGACAGTGTGTACTTGGACTCAGGAGAAACAAGATGAGTAATAACTGAGCAGTACTAAAAATAAAAACCAGACAAGATATCCCAAGACATGGGCAGTGGAACAAGATCCCTGTAGGTTAAATAAAGGGTTCACTTCATAATTCCCCGTGGGTTATTCAAATCAAGATGTACTTGATGAAGGCCAGAGAGCACAACAGCTGAAACATGATAACAACAAAAATGAGGACAACAGTTTGAATGTAAACATTGAACATTCCTGAAAGGAAATGAATTTCTCTTTTTCTTTGATATATATCTTTCATTCATTCATCATGTAGATGTTGCTGTAAACATGATTTGGTATGTAAATTTAAAAAAAAATAATTTTAATTTCTAACTGTTGTTAGTTGGAAGGTATTAAAATTTAAATAAGTTAATTATTACTTGCATTATTTACATTATTCAGACTGTTATCCTCATCTTCATTGCCATATTCACAATGTTTTGGCCGCTGAACACTTTGGCCTTCTTCAGGTGATTGGAATTTCGAACCAAACCCTTTATTTATTTGTGAACGAAATAAAGGGACCAGTTCGAAATTCCAATCACTTGAAGAAGGCTGAAGCATACAACATCCGAAATGTTGTGAATATAGCAATGAAGATGAGGATAATAATCCAAATAATGTAAATAATGCAAGTAATCATAACATCTTATCTCAGAAATATAAACAGATATTGAAATGAATTATTATAGATGTTAGATAGATGAAACTTTGCAACATGATAATTTGATATAATTTTTAAATGATGTAAATTTTATCTTTTTGTGCAAATTATAAGCTAACTAAATTCTGCTTTAAGTTGGAATCTTGTTTCCTTAATATTTAATTAAAATAAGCTTTGTTTGAAATTTGTCAACTTATTAAGTATGTATTAATGAAGCATTGAAAGTTGTTTAATGAATATGTTTTTCTTCTTATGGAAGTGAGACATGTGTGCTCAACACCACCACTGAGGAAACTCTTGCAGTGGCCCAATGTAAAATGGAATGAATCATGCTCAACATCACCTTATGTGACAGGGAGAGCAACATCTGGATTCAACAGCAGACTGGCATAAAGGGCATAATCGAGACCATCAAGAAGGATAAATATAGATTGGCTGCTGGCCCATTCTCTTGTCTCAGAGGAGACAAGAGATGTGGACTATTAGAGCAACAGAGTGGACTCTTCTTAATTTCCAGCCAATTTTGATTTTCAAAAATGTAAATGCAATGTCAGTCATCATCCACTGTCTTCTTAATTCCTGTTCTTTTATTGTTCTCTCTCATTAATAGTGTTTTATTTCTCATAGTCTCTCCCATTCATTAACCACCTTCACTCTTAGTGGCTTTATTGCCTTGCTTTTTTGTGGCCTTCCTCAGGGCCAGGGTCATGGGGGCCCTTCACATCCCTTGTTAAGCCAAATTGACATTTGCGAACATTTCCACATTTATGTTGACTAATGGTCTTTTGGCATGGCCGTATTGACAATTGGATGGGATTGTGTTTGATAGACAGACTCACTCATACTCCTGACAGACAAACTTTGATTCGTCTTGGGTATGACAATAAACTACATCCGTCAGCAAGATTCTGATCAGAAGATTGGAGGGTTTGAGGTGTTTCCCCATTCCTCAAAATCTCCAATCTCCTGCTGTTGTTCCTAGTTCCACCCTGACCCAGTGTGGTAGCACCTGTTAGGGTCTCAGCTATGGGCAAATCGTGAACCCAAACAGAAATCAACAGTGTATATTTATAATAAAAAGACCAACAATACATTTTTATAGTAAAATGACAATCAATGCAACACTAAAAAAATATAAAAATACATTTTTATAGTAAAATTACCAACAATACATTTAATGATCTACAAACTATATATCTAAAAACATACATTTACTCTAAAAGTATAAAATTATGTACAAGGTATCTGTAGTTGAAAGCATCAATGTTTCTGCAGGACATTTTCATTTCTGCCTAAGACTATAAAAGAAAGGAAATAAATTCTCTCTCTCTCTCTCTTATGCGATAAGTCTTTGGAGACTTATTCAATGCATGGATGAATGGTAGATTTATAAAAGTGTAAGTTAGATTCTGACAAGAAAAATTGTCTGGAAACTTTTGTTTGCTATGTTTGTAGAAAAGTCACTTGCTGGTTTCATGACTGACAATAACAAAGTATGTTAAAAGGTCAGCAACAGTAATGATTGTTTAACAAGTAGACAGTTGTCATGTATCTATATATATCATGGTAATTTCCTACTCTACAAACACTAACCATTACCAAAATATGTGACTGTTTTATTATAACTTTTTTATTGACTAATTGTTAGAATTATCTATTTTTTATTGACTCATTGTCAGAAGATGGGAACTGCAAATTGGGGAAACC